GGTCATACTCTTGGCTTCCTCTCTGCCTAAATCCAAAGCTCTCCAAAGGAAAACCTAACCATGCAAACAGAAAAGGGGCACTTTGTATTTCTGAAGCGAACACTTTCAGCCTTGGCTGGAGCTTTTTGGGACAGGAATCGCTCAGGCCATGCCAAAGCCGGATTGCTGGGACCGGGATGCTGTGGGGCCAGCTCTGAGATCGAGATGCTGTGGGACGGGGTCGGGATGCTGTGGGGCCGGGATGTTGCGGGATCAGGACGCTGTGGGATCAGGATGCTGTGGGGTCAGGACGCTGTGGGGTCGGGATGCAGTGGGGCAGGGATGCTGTGGGGCCGGGATGCTCTGGGATCAGGGCCTGCGGGGCCGGCAGCCGCCGCCCTCGCCACAGGCACGGTCCGACCCTTCCCGGTCCACGGAAAGCGCTGGAGGACGGGAGCAGGGCGGAGCAGGACGGAGCTAGGAGGACCCCGTGTGTCCGGCGATCCCAACTACAGGCGGTGTAATTCCCTGTGCGGGCGCTGGGAACAATTTCTCTCAGGGCTCCTGGTTGGTTGGGCTTTTTAAACTGTTTCACTGCGTCCCTTTTTCTTTTTAGAGGAGAAAGCATCAAGGAGGCCTGGGCCATCTCTAAAGTGTAACTGGGTTTGGTTTTCTCCTGCACTTGGAAGAGGGGATGTGGCAGCGGCTGATGTGCAGCCAGGGAGTGACCCACGAGGGGATGCCCGGGGTCTGACCCAGGAGCAGGGCAGGGCATCGCCCCCGGCCCTGTCCGAGCAGCAGCCCCCTCTGAGCAGGGAATGCGAGCAGCACGAGGTGCCGCTCCTGGCCTCGCTGAACAGGGGACCATGGTAGTAATGTCGCCCAGCCCCCTGAAATGTTCCCATGCTGGCCTCAGGCTGCAGAGCTTGGGGACAAGAGACTCTAAATGAGTCAGGTTGGTCCTGGAGTCTGGCACGAGGTTTGGGAGCTACTGGGGAGCTCTCAGAGCACCAGGGACACAAGAAACAAGAACAGCCTCACTTTGATACGTTCATGTGTGCACAAATATACAATGAAAATAATGATTATATTATAATGTATAATAGAATTATTCCTGGGTCAATCTGTGTATTATAAATTGAGAGATTACATTTGTATATGGTTATAATACTTAATAGACATTTGGCTTATGTTTGTCTACATATGTGGTCTGTACACCATCCCATTTATTATATAAATACTCATGTACTCCCCAGCATAAAAGAGAGTACCTTCTCTTGCTGCACTGCTGAGCTTTGCCACGGCCCAGCATGGCTCAGGAGTTAATGAAGAGCCAGCCCCTTCCTCCCATTGCCTCCAGCAGCTCCAGCCTTCTGAGCACTCTGCCAGTGCTGTGGGTTTGCTGTGCTATGGAGCTCCTGGCCCCATCCCTCATGGCCCATGTGGAGCTGTTGAGTTTCTCCTTCCACTGGAACAAAATGGAGCTTCAGTGATCAGGAGGTTTCCTTCCAGACTTTCCTGTGCACCACGGATTGGATTGTTTACCAGCTGGAGGATTAACTAGACTGTCGTTGAAGAGCAAAAAAAAAAAAAAAAAAAAGTGTTTTCAAGTATGTCTTGGAAGCAGTGTCTCCCTTGAAGGAGGCTTTTCAGACTTACTGTGTTTGCTGGCTAGCACTTTGCTTGTCCCTGGTAAGGAAGCTCCATCTCAGAGAGTTTCTGGAAAATTACTGTGTTAGGATGGAGGCAGTGGGGGGAGAAAAATAAATGATTTGATTATCCCTGAAAACAAATCCCTGTTCCCATCTTCATCTACAGATGGTGACAGTCCCTTCTTTGCCTGCAAAGAAAAACCCTTATGAACCCAGGAATGGGGGAACCCCTGACTGCCCTTCCTCCCTGGTTCATCTGGGATCTCCCCAAGGTCCCAGCAGCCAGCCCAGCACCCCAACAGACGTGGTGCTCCGGGGCACCCACCCCCTCCCAAACTCCTGTGCTCTTCCTCAGCCCCATCCCACAACACTGACATCAACCTGAGATTTAGTTTATTGGGCACAGCTAGTGGCTGATGTCAGGAGTGAGCCTACCTGCACTGCTAATACAGTGGGAATTAAAACCATGGGACGCTAAAAAAATATATATATATTGTTTCACTGCCCACTACTAGAGTCTAGATTGGCTGCCTGATGGCTGCACAGCGTTCAAAACCAGCCAATCTCATTCTCTGCCAACACTCCACATTTTCCTTTATTCCCTCTAAAGATTACATCAAGGTAAGCCTTCCACAAGCATCTCAGAGCACTGGATGGGTTTCTCAGTCCAGGACCAGCACTGAGCCCAAAGGGGCAGGTCAGCAGCCAAGGACTAAAGAGCAGCAAGGAAGAAGCTCTCTTCTTCCACCTCCTTTTTTAAGGCTATTGCTTATTTGGGAGCTGTGAGGACTAAATACAAGTAAAAGCCACTGTTGGCTGAAGCTGAGGTGCTGGTGTCTCTGGCAGGGTGGGTGCAGCCCAGTGACAAGCTGGGCACAGTAATGACACAGACAGCAGCAGAGAGGCCAGGCTGGCAATGATTTCCCTGCTGGCTTAGACAGAAATCCCTGTGAAATGTCCCCACCCTGTCTGGGCTCTGCTACCCACACAAGTCTGCTCTGAAACTGAAATTTGTGGAGGAAAAGGGAGTCAAACAACCCCCTCCCCAAATCTCCTCCCTGGCCAAATTGCTCCACCACAGCACCACAGGGAGCATAAAACCAGGTAGGGCCTGCTGCGAGGTACTGAAAATTCTTAGAAGCTGAGGAGCCTGCAGGTATTTAAGCATCAAATTTCTGCTTTTAAGGGAAGAGAAGGGGAAGGATGCCTGGACAACTCAGGGGCTTCTGGCCCTCCTGGGATGGCTGCGGCAACTGGTGCCAGGGGACAGAGCAGTGCTGCCCACTCACTGGGAGGGCTGGGGCTGCTTTCTTAGAGGAGCAAGTTCAGAGAGTTACAGGAATGCTGATCCAAGCTGTGCTCTGGGGTTACATATCAGCCTTGTTAGCAAAGACCCTTTCTCATTTGCACAGACAAGAGGAAAGAGTAAACAGGCTGAGCAGCCAAATAACTAGCCTCTCACTGCCCTTAAAAAAAAAAAAAAAAAAAAGGAAAAAAATCCCCTTTTATTGAAACCATTTCCTTTGGTTATATCATTTTTCGAGGCTGGAAGCAATTTCAAGTCTTAAGTGCATTCCCTGCACTATGTCCACAGGCACAAGGCTGATGCTTGGCTGCCCACCAAGGGGTGCCCTGGCGAGCAGCACGTCTTGCTGTGCCCTCTGTCATTTCCCCATGCCAGCCCTGAGCCCCAGTGCCTCCTGCAAGGGGGGAACCCCCAAGCCCAGCACAGGCAAGGTGCAGCATGGGTCACCTTGGCACAGCTGAGTCCCACAAGTAGGACACAGATGGCATCCATTACGTGTTCCCATCCCTGTCCTCTGTCAACAGTGACAACCAGATTAAGCCGAGTTCTGCCCAGAAATCCCCCAGTGAAGGGACATGCCAGTGCCAGGGCTTTGCTGGAGGCACACAGCAGAGAAGCAGCTGTGCATTGGGCACTGGGATTTGATGCTGGAGGAGTGTGACTGGCGTCCCTTGCACCAGTCACTGGCTTCAGTCTAGGTATTTTGCAGGACTGGAGGAAGCAGGGGCAAATCTGTGTTATTAAGAGAAAAGCAGAAGGAGTTTCACATGTTCAGGATCCTGTAGAGGGCTGGGGTGCCCCCAGCAGCCTTACGTGGTTCACAAGAGCAGCACAAGCACCAAGCTCCAGAGAGGACCTCTCTGAGGTGGTGGGGACAATGCAGCAAGGAGGAGGAACATGGTGTTGAGGCAGGAGGAGTTACTTGCCAGGACTGCTCAAGCCAGTGCCAAATTTGAGCTATTGAAGCTTTACAAAGCAAAGCATTAAGCTGAAGTTATTAAAATATATACATAAACATCCTCTAAGGTGCTCCTCAAACTGGGACTGGCAGTCAGATGCTTTGCTTTCCCCACAGGCTGCAGCAGGGGGTGAGGCAGTGACCCAAGGCAGGGCAGCGTGTGCTGAAACCTCCCAGCCAGGGAGCTGCTGTGCACAGCCTCTCCAGCTCAGCAGCACCAGGCAATTTGTCCTTCATGACAAAAAAAGGGAAAGGAAACTTGGGGAAAGGGGAGGCTACAGCTCTTTTTTTTTTTTTCCTTTTTTTTTTTTTTTTTTTTTTTTTTTCTTTCAGGGAGTGCTTTTCCCCATGCCTGGCAGCCCAGAGCTGCTCAGCTCTCACTGTTAGGGACCTTCAGCCATGTGTGGAAGCCATGCAGGGGCTTCAGCTTTGCAGTGACTCTGGGACACCAGAGCAGAACTGGGAGCAATGAAACACCAGGCCAGCAGGCACTCAACACAGCTGAGGTTCAAGTGTTTTAGAGCTGGCCAGGTCCTTGAATAAGGCATCATGGGGAACGTGACCTCCCCTTTTCCCTTCTCCAAGAAGAAGGCAGATAATTAATAAAGGTGAAGCCTAGTGACATTTTTCAAAGGTTTGATACATGTCCTCAGCTCCTGACTCTTCAGCATCTTATCATCTGGAGGAATCTATTGCTTCTTCTATTTCAGTGAGAATTGGCTGCTTCCAGCCCCAAAAGCCTCCCTGACATGTCCTTGGTAGCGCCAGATTGCCACCCTGGAGCAAGGACCTGAGGAGTCACTGGCCACAGCCTTGTGCCTGATCATCACCCAGACCAACACAGGCAGCTCCTGGACTCATCCCAGAGCAATTGTTAATGAGTGGATGGTGACTGTGGGAGGGGCTTTAATTCTGACCTGAAACACATGGGTGTCAAAATATGCTTCGTTAGGAAACACTGATTTTCCTGAAGCCCTACTAAAATTGTGTTGTCCAATCCAGAATGGATGAGAAAAAAGCAAGAAGTTCTACCTGACAAGTTAGAACTAAAAACAGGCAGAGTCATGGCAAGAAAAAAGAAACTCGCAAATCCACAGCATTACTCTTTTTTTTTTTTACCCACTTTATTTATGTGTGTGTTTCTATAAACATTTTAACTACTGGACATTTCATAAACCATAAAAACAAACCTTCCTGCCCCCAAAATGCAATCTAACCAGCTTTTTGGTCAGACACCAGCAATGCTGCCAGGGCAGGTAGGTGGTATCCCTAGATAACCTCCACTGGGCATGAGCCAGCAGCTCACTGCCTCAGATCCTGAGCCTCTGAGCGATGGAGACAAGACAAGTTTAAAGACCTGGTTGCTCTGCTACTCCAGGAGCAGGAGAAAAGTGGGGTGAATAAAGAATTTCCCTCAGTGGAAAGTCAGAGTCTGATGGAGGGGCTGCAACATCCACTTGCAGGATCAGACGCAGTGACCTCGGCAGGCTTTGGAGCAGACTCGGGGCTGTGACAGTGCTGGGGATTGAGACCATGGCCCAAATGCTCCTTCCTTCCTTCATTCCTTCCTCCCCAGTGGCCCAAATGCTCCTTGCTGCCTTGTTTGCCAGGTGTGAGCAGGGGGAGCTCCTTAAATCCGCTTTGCTCCCTTGCAAGGGCAGGAGTTTGTGGGTGCTGATCCCTCGGGGTGGGCAGGCTGTAAGGCACAGAGGGCAGGGCAGGTGGGTGTTGGGGTGCCAATGGAGCCCAGCCCAGCCAGGTGAGCCAGCACTGAGTGCCAGGTACCCCCGTGGCCCGGAGGGAAGCACCGTGTCACACCAGGGACGAGAGCAGCACAGGGACTCTCAGTTGCCCAGGTTCATGTCTGTGCCGTGGATGAGCCAAACCAGGCGGAAACAGATGGCCAGGAATCCAGTGCCCAGGAGGTCCCCCAGGGCAGTGAGGTAGGGGATGGAGAAATTATCTGGGTCCAGAGCCTTCCTCCACATCAGGCGCACAATCAGGTCAGCCACGTAGAGCAGGATCCCCACCTGGGAGAGTGAGAAGGAGGGCAGAGAGAAGGGCACGGACAAACCCTGGGCTCAAAGCCAAGGTGAGGTGGCCATGGCCAGGGAGCCAGAGCTAACAGGGGTCCCTGAGCACTCACACCTTCTCCAGAGAGCTGAGGTTCCTCACTGGGATGGGATGGGATGGGATGGGATGGGATGGGATGGGATGGGATGGGTGTAGCTGGCTCCTACCCTTTGGCATCACATAATCCACAGTGCCACAGCCCTCTGCTGCCAGCCACAAGTGTGGAACCCTGCTTGAACTGCTCACCAGCACTGCCTGGCCACACCAGAAGCATCTCCCAAAGGTGCAGTTCCTATCCCTGTGCCTTGAATGGGAGTGCTCCCACTCACTCCACCAGATGAAGGGGTTCTGTGAATATGCAGGCAACCCCAAAGGACAAGTTTGTAGCCAGACTTTTTTCTCTTTATTCCTCTTTTTTCCATTAGAAATTCAGATCATGTCTACTTTGTTTTTCCTAAAAGTCTCAGTGGACAACTGGAGTTTGAGACAGTTTTTACATCAAAGCTATCCCAAGCAGAACTGACATGTTAAAAAAAAAAAATCTTTTTTTTTATCTCAACACTTTAAAAATCTTTGTTGTGATTTCTTTTAATTCTTATTTCATTCCCAATTCTGATAAACAGATGGCAGAAAAAAATACTTCAGTTAAAGATTAAAGACTGTCTAGTTAATTGAATTAAGAAGGAAGAGAGAATTTGCACCCCACATCTGTGGTCCCTCCATGGGAGACCACAGCACATCAGGAACCAAAGCCTGAGGCAGCATTTCTAAAGGTGAAAACTGCAGGCTGGGTTGGGAGAAAGGGAGGAGGAGAGATGGGGAAGTAAATTAAATAACAGAACCACAGAAACTAAAGCTGGCTGGAAACTTGAGAGTTTTACACAGATAATTCGTCTTCCTCAATCCAGGATCAAATACATCTACATCTTTCCTGATGGAAAATTTGTTTAACTTGTGCCAAACAACCCTCACAGTTGGAGATGCCACACTCTAAGCAATCAGCTCCAGAGCTTTTTTCCCCGCATTTTTGTTTTTCCCAAGGCCTAAAATAAATCTGCCTTTTTTTCATTTGAAATCCATGATTTCATGTTTCCTCCCCTAATGACCACATAGCAAATGTTATTCTGTCTCTTCCTACAGAAATTTGGCAGTTTAAAGGCCATTAACCAGACTTTTCCCAAGTCTCTGTACTTTGGAATAGTTAACCCCAGTCCATTCAATCACTCCTCTGAGGTCATGTTTTCTGGGCTCTGATCTTGGCTTTCTTCAACTGACCCAAAATTTCCCCCCAACCCTTTTTCTTTCTGTCTTTCTTTATAAAGCATAACAGAGGGGGAAAAAGGGCCAGGCTGAGTGTACCCTCCTCCACTGGTCTCCACAGGAATCTTTTGGGGTCAGTGGTGTTGCTGGGATGCTGCTCTTTATGCTGTCATTTATTCTTGTATTTGCATGCTTGGCTTTGGTTGAGGAGTTACCTCGATGCATAAAGAGAAGAATAAATATTTTCCTTTAAACTGTGGCTGTGCTTTTGGGCTTAGGGTTGTGCAAAGGTCGAGAAAAACTGATTGTTTACACACACACAAGGAATTCACCCTCAGACACAAGGCTGCTTGTAAGTCAAAGTGAGAGTCAGCCACCTCATCATGCAAATCAATGAATCACTTATTTTAAAGGGCAAGTGAAGTCAGAGCCTCTGTGAGTTCAGGCAACAGCCACATGCATTTCTGAGTGAGAAAAATAAAGTTTACAGGGCAAGAAAAGCAGCAAAAGGGAACAAGCATAACAAATCAGATGATCTGCTCATTGCCTACCAGGAACTTTTACTTTTGAAGATGAACTGCTCAGGGCCTGGGCTTTCTCTTTGTTTTTTGCCCACAAGGCCCTGCCCAGAGGGATTCCCTAGGTCTTCACCATAAAATGTGACAGTGGTTTCCAAAATGGGTGGGGAAACCTGCTGGCTGCAGTTTACTGCTTCTCACCTTGCTGGGGTAACTAGTGGCAGCCTGGAAATACCTGGAGCTTAGAGACCCAAGGAGGGAACATTTTCAAACAAGGTACTTCTTGCTACGTGTGTCTCTGCACACTTACTGCAGCTCAGTGGATGCTGAGAAGTTTTTCCTCCTCTCACACCTGATCCCTCACTCACCCTAAAGCACAGTTGTGCTCATGTGGGAAACTAGAGCCTGGCAATTTGGGTGAGTTATTACTGGAGCTACAGAATGTACATGATTCCTGGCAGAAGCACACCTGAAATGACAGGAAACAGAGGCTGCTGCTGAACGTTTTACTGTGACTCCTTTTCAACCTGGAGAAAGCTGGTTTTATGTTATCTGACAGATTGCTTTTGGATGAGAGTTTGGAGTTTACCTGAAGCAAAGCAGCAGCCAGATAGAACATCACAAAGGTGAAGGACAGGGATGTGTGGCCTCCCTGCAGCAGATGGATGGTGTAGAGGAACACGAGGTGCCCTGGGATAACCAGGAGGAACAGGACCCGGGCTGACTTGGAATTCACCCCTGCAGAGCAGAGACAGAAAGAGGGGTAAGAGCAACTGGGGAGGGTGAGGGGAGGACAGGATACAGTTCATATTTTAATGCATAAACCTGGGGCTGCCCCCTCCCACAAACCTCACTGCTAATGCCTTCTCTAGATCACACAAACATAGGAAGCATCTGCGGGATCAGCCCAGCAGCTTTGTCTAGCACTGAAACTACATGCCAAAGGCTTTGTGCTTCGTGCTGATCCACTCTGATTTTTGCAGAAACTCCTCTCAGCTGCTTTCTGCCTCCCACAACTTCTGCTGTGCCTCACTGCAACAGATTTTCCCAGTTTATAGTTGGATTTAGCACTAACTCTCAACCTAACAGGGAAAATCAAGAGGAACTCTATAAAGACAACAGACCCCAAACTGAGTTTTGCTGATTCTTAAGTATTTCCAGTGCTGAAGAAGATGGAGGAATTGCTGATTTTCAGCAAGATTGTGGTCTATTCACTGCTCTGTCCACAGGTGATGGCTGTAGGCTGCCCATTAAAATGACTTTCTGTTAGATCAAATCTAAGATTCTTTTTCAATTACTTTCTCTAGTGCTCCCTAAAGGCCACTTTCTTTGCGTGCCAGTGAGCAAATATGCCTTAAGCCTTTTTTTCATGCTGCCCACTGCAAGGATGCTTCCTCTGTGAGTATTCTCTGAGGAAGGGGAATGTTCTGTCTTTGAATCCCAGCTGATCCTTCACCAGCCAGGCTTGGGAAAGGAGCTGTCTGTGATGACAGAGAGACATGGACACCAAGGGTTCGGGGTCTACCTGATGAGAAGAATGTGGTGCATGGGTTGGGCCAATTCTGCCTCATCTTGTATGGCAAAACTCCAGGCATGCTCCAGAAGTGCAGGAATGTAGAAATTCGGCTGGCTTGGATGGCAACCAGATTCCCTCCAACACCTGTGAGGACAAAACACAGAAAACCTGTAAACCACCTTCACCACAGCAGGAAAGAGCAGTCCAAAACCCAGCCTCAGGTGAGGCAATCTGCATTGACTCAGAGCAGCAGTGAGAGAAAGAGAAAACCTGATCCCTGCATCCCTAGGGGTGCTGCACTATTCACTTTGCAGGAACAGCTCCCAAAAATCAGGAAGGCTCCAGTAATTGTGTTCTTCTGAGTGCTGGCTGAAAACATTTTCCCTTTCTCCCCAGCATTGGATGTAAATGCCATGTGGCCCCTGAAGATGATGAAATTGCACCTGGTTGGACACAGTGAGCAACACCTGGGGAAAGCAGTGCAGATGCTGCTCATGGCCACCTCTTGGATTTACTCACTCAGAGAAACATTATTGTTTGAAAGACAACAAATCATCACAGAGGGTGATTATATATCTGTCTGAAGGTACCTAACACACTTGTTAAATGAGAAGGAATCACAAGAACGAATTAGAACCCAAAAATGTTAGCTAATTAAAGTAAATTAATTCATTCCAGACTGATTAATTGTAGCAAACATGAAAAAGCAGCTATAGAGGGGTAATGATCTGTGGAGCAAACTTCCACCACCCTAAGTATTTTCAGGGTGGAAATGCCACAGAAAAGATAACGGTGAGCCAGATGCTACAGGCTTCTCATGTTTTCCCTTCCTTGGAGAAGAAATAATCATTAAATGTGAGATTTTTCAGACGGGAATCAAAGTGAAAATACTCAGGCTGTCTGATTGCAGCTGAAGATGGGACCTGAGCCGTGCACTGCCACGCTTTGCACGGGCAGAGTGAAGAGCCGCCTGTGCAAAGGCACAGAGCACTGCACCACTCTGCCAGCAGCTCTGCCAGGCGGGTCACCTGTCCCCACAGAGCCAGCCACGGGGCTGCCACTGCCCCGCTAAATTCCTGCTGACTTTCCCAGGCTGGCTCCTTCACTAGCCATGCTGGAAAGGGTTTGTCAGCAAGGTCGGTGTCCTCATGCAGATGCAGGATGGTGGCAGCTAGGTGACACCCGCTGACACTGCAACAGGACACCATGCTTTGAGGGTGGCACGAGGCCCTAGGAACCTGGGTTTGCCTTGGAATGGGCCTGTCCTACGAGAATGTTATAATAGCACAAAAATAAGCTAGTGGATCTTCTGTGATACCAGGATCCCCAGCAGTTTGTACTGACAGGTGTGTGCATAAAAGTACTGCGAATAAATATAAATATAAATATAAATATATGAACAAAATATGTTGAGATATATATATAAAAATCAAATTATACCCAATCCATGCATATAATATTTATATATATACATATAAAATAGATCTTTATCTCATGCATAAATATAAATATGAATATAAATAAATATAAATATAAATATATACAAAATATGTTTATATATATATATATATATATATAAATCAAATTATATCCAATCCATGCATATAATCTCTCAGATACATACACATGTATAATCTAATTACATTAATAGTTATCAACATTCTTTATAGGGGATGGTTGCACTGCACAAATCACTGAGGGGAGGGAAGGAAACAAGGGAAAATGGATTTATTGTGATATCCCCGTTGGTTTGATTTTATGAAAAGTGTCAACGTAGCTCTCAGAGATGCTGATAACCTTTTTGCACAACTCTGTCCTCACTGCTATTTTGCTCCAGAGACACTTCAAAACATAAGCAGGAACGTGATGGGGACCAGTAGCTTCACTTCCACTCATGATGGGAGCAGGGAATTGAACACTGATCTCAATGTAGGGGCAGTGGTGGATGCCAGAAGCCTTGGGAGGAAGGGAGGCATAAATAAAAGCATGCATAGAGCCCCCATACCCAACCTACCGTTAATCACAGGTGTGAAAACTGCCATGCCTTCAAAGTTTGGGTCAGTTACAGTTTTGTCCAGGATGAGCCCACCAATGCTGTTAAGAAAAGGACAGCAAATGACGTTGGAGCAATCTTTTCCCAGGGCAATTCCTACACTGAAAACAGCACAGTGCCATGGGTTACTGCATCCTCCCCATTGCCAGGGCTGGACTGTTCACCATGTACTGCTTTTACAGCTCAGCTTCCACCTACAGCATTACAGGTTTTTTTAATGGTACAATGAGTTCAGAAAGACCTCCTTCCCCACCCCCAAGCAAAACTGGTGGTGGTTAGGAAAGCATTATCATCCTCCCACAAAGTTTTGTTACACTTCTATACCAGACTTAGCACTTTTTAAAAATTCTCTTCCAGATCTCAGCTGAAAGATGTAGCACAGGAAGACAGAACTACCTGGCTCTACATTTACCAGTATTTTCTCTTTACAGCTGGATAAGAATGAGGTTGAAGCCTGACAATCTGTGACGATCAAAGCCTGACAATTTGTGATGATCATCATCTGTGCTTTCAGTTTCCTGGCTTTCACCCATGTGGTGCCTGGATGTGCAAGTGACACTTAGAATGATTTGCTTTTTCCAGTCCTTTGGGGGCTCCTTATCAGCTGCCTCACAAATAAGAGAGACAGTCTGAAACCCTTTGGCACAGTTTGTATCTCCTTTATGCAGGACTGAGAAGAACCAGAGGCAATTTAAAAAAAAAATATATTGAGAATCTTCTCTGGCAAGAGGATATTCTGCAGCAGGAGAAGGTGCTGCGTCAGGTGGCACACAGTACTTCAAACTTTACAGTTTCTGTAAAACTTCACAGTTTCTTTATAACAGAGTCTGTTGGAGAGCCACCAATGCCTGAGAAGCTCTGGGCAAATACCCTGCTGCTGCCCCTGCCAGTGTCACTTTGGTGGCCCTCTAGGTGAGCCCAGGGTGTCTCTGCAGTGTGCACACGGGGCTGGGAGCCGTGCCTCAGTTTACCTGCTGATGCTCATGGCAACAATAACCGGCTGCCACCCAGACTTGAGGACTTCGGCCAGGGAAGGACTTTGCTTGGCAATAGCAACCCAGAGAGGGATCATGACAATGAATACAGCACAGATCAGAGGAGAAAGGTACTTCACATCTGGAAAGGAAAAGAAATCTTGAATTAAATACCTGGAGCTTCACTGGTTGCCAAAATTATAATGCACAAAGATGGGAAGAAATGCAGCAGGACTCTTGCTCCAACCGAGTTATGTTACAGGAAAAATCACATGAAGCATGATAGTCCCCACAAAACCACCTCATTCCACCACAGAAATCCATAATTAATCCCTGAAATTCACTGCTAGAGGATGCTGTTTGAAAATCAGCAGGATTCAAAGCAAGTTATATTTGAAGATTAACAACTCGCCAATTCCACCTCCAACTAAGAAAGATGAAAAGTTACAAAATTTCTGGGCTTCAGGGTACAAATCAAACAGCAGGGCAATGGGGAAGCTCCTGTGTGGAAGCTGTATCCCACTTAGGGCAGACACCTCATACCTTCACCTAAAACAAGAGATAAGAAATACTTTAGGAAGCAAGCTAGCAGAATTGCCGAGCAGCTGGTCTGCTCTATAGGAACAAATGTTCTCTGGCACCTATAAGCCAGTTCAGATCTGGGGTTTCTTTTGTGCTATCTTGCATGTGTTTCCATTAGGTGCTTTTTCCATTCAGCAGAGGCATAGCCTTGGAGTGATATTTAGAAGCAAAGAAATTAAAAAAATAAGATGTGCAGCACTAAAAGAAAATAAACATGACTCAGAAGCATGAGAAACACCTTCGAGCAATGGGGCTGATGCCAGCCCTTTTGATACAAAAATGCTTCTTCAACAAAGCTCTCCATCTGGTCTCTGAGCTGGGGCCAAAGGCAGTGGGATGTAATGCTGGCTTTGCAGGTAATCTGGGAGATGAAGCAGCTCGAAGTGTGCATTTTTAAAAACACCATTGCCAGGGCCTTGGGCTACCTGGATGCGACAGCACTGACGTGATGGCATCTGCTGTGAGAGAAAGGCTCTTACACAAAGAGGTGCAGCTCTTCCTGGGAGCTTTCAGTGGGCACTGAAATACCTCCTCCTGGGAGTTAAGACTTTTTGTCAGTGCTCTTTGCCCTCTGGAGTCATCCAGGACAGGTGGGTTGTATGACAGACCTGGCTGCTGTACTGAGTCTCTTACCCACACCACATGTTGTTTTGAGCAATTAATTCCTTCTTAAATAATGCAGGCACAGCACTGGAGTTGATCAAACCTTATCAGAGCCCACAGAAAGACTCCTGGTAGGATGAATGGTCTTCAGGCTCCACATTCCAGTTCTGCTACATTCTCTCACAGGCAGCCCATAAGCAAGCTGAAACCCTTTGGCACAGTTTGTATCTCCTTTATGCAGGACTGAGAAGAACCAGAGGCAATTAAAAAAAAAAAAAAAAAGAGACAATCTTCTCTGGCAAGGGGATATTCTGCAGAAAGAGAAGGTGCTGCATCAGGTAGCACACAGTACTTCAAACTTTACAGGTTCATCAGTATTTTTCAGGATACATACACATTTTGGTAGGACCCAGAAGTTTTTAGAGTGTGACCTGCACCTTATTACACACTGGGCAGGGAAATGGACTTGTTCAAGCACCATCAGCAGTGCCATCCTTCTACCTGCTTCATTTCATGCTCCCAAAGTCTGTGTGCTGACTATTTTCCATCTCAAGAGGCTCTTTAAACTACTCTGGCAACCCCAGAAATGCTCTCTGGTCACAGCCATAGAGGTTATCATGTTGTTCTGCCCTGTGCTCCCTGGGAGATATTATCTGAGGCACAGCAAGTGAAAGAGAGATTAGCTTCACAGAGGCAGGTGCAATGGCATCATGGAAAAATCCTATTTAAAAAAAGCACCCCTGAAGCTCTAGGAGGACAGGATGGAAGCGATTCATGGGCCTCTCCCTGCAGTGTGTGCTCCTTCACTCCCTCACTTGTGCTTGCACATGGAATGAGTTATGCAAACTGAGAACAGCTGCCTCACTGCTTCTGCTCAGTCTGAAGCAACAGTTTGGGTTCCAAATGCAATTGAGTTTCCTGGATCTTTTTATTTTCTCGTTTCTGTTCTAGCTTAGGCTCACAGTAAATAGCCTAACACTTTAAAAGCAACAGACATATATCACCAATGTTCTGAACTTCTGAGGGTCATCAGGCGCCCAAGCCTTTGGCAACCTGCAGCACAGCTAACCCCAGACCACAGCACCTACTCCAGAGTCCTGCAGGCAAAAAACACTGCAGACTACTTCCCTCCAACTGAATATCTTGTTCATCCATGACTCTCCATGTGAGAGCATACATGAATATTTTACTAGTGCCAAACTCCTGGAATTGCCTTGTGAAGAAGGACCTGCTATTACCCATGCACATGAGGTAGTTTTGCTTGGCTAGTGACAGATCAAGGAACAGAGTCAGTGTCACATATGTCAGCCTCCTGTTCCAAAGCTGCACAATACATGTTGGTCATTTCTTTGACAAATCCCTTTGTGTTTACCAGGCTCTGTCTTCCAATTTGTTACTAAAGGAGAGACTGGAAAAAGCCTCTTTGGTCATTTTTCTACCCCAGTGGCACAATAGCCTCCATTCTGAATCATGCCAGAAATGCTGAGGCAGCCTGCAGTAATTTCACAAGGATTTGTGAGCTCCCTTGCTGAGCTGCAGTTCCCTGCTGAACACTGTACCTATGTATTTGAAGAGTGTGCTGCTGATTCCTGCCAGGAGGGAAAGGGTTATCAAATCTCCCAGGCTCGCTGCTATGGGTGTGGCGACATTGTCTGGATTGATCCCAACTTTCCTTGCTCCAATGATCACACCAATCATCACCAGACCTAGAGAAGACACAGAGCAGGCATCAGAGAGAGCATTTGGGTGTGTTTTACCCCAGAGCTGCAGAGGGATGTGGGGGTCTAAGAGAAGCAAGAAGCACGTTACCCTCAGCAGCACCATGCAGCTGGAGATTGGACACCCCCAGGAGTTTGTCCTTTTGTTTTCACCAACCTGGAGTGCATGACTCTGTCCTTATAACTGCACCAAGGGCCCAGAGGCACACAAGCAAATTCCAGGGATCAAAGCAGATACCAGCAGGCAGCCCAAATGTAGAAGCTCCCCTCCTGAGCAGCCTAATCTTTGTTGCCTTGAAGCAGGACCAGGCACGAAGCACACTCATAGATAAGCACACAGCAGGCATGCAGCAGCCTCTTGGTGCCATCCCCTCCTCTGGATTCCACAGCACAAAGATTTTTTCCATATTAGACTGAAATTTCTCAAAGTTTGAATCACCAAGGAGCAATGAGCTTCCTTATAGCAGCCTGAATTAGCCTTTCAGCCCAGCCATCAGACTGAGCCCTCATGTCCCAGAGCCTTTGGGGCTGCTTTAATTTGCACTGGGTGGATATTGATGCTGTGAGCAGCTCCAGAGTCAAGGGGTCATGGTGGTGGCCTCTGAGGTGCACCTGGAATACTGAGCTGCTTTTCAGCATTGCTGGGGAGAAGAGAGGTCTTGCTTGCCCAGGTAAGTTTAGGAGCACAAACCCCAGACCCTGGTGAACATGTGGGGATCCCTCAGCTATCAGATCTCTCACAGGCCTGTGGAAGAAGCACCTGGAATAAGCCCTGGCCAGGCTCCACTGCTAACTAGAAAGGGCAGCCTTGAGACAAGACATAAGACATCCCTTCAAAGTCCTTCTGTGGCTGACAGGCTGCACCAAAGGAAGCCCAAGAAATGGTGATTCCCTCCAGCTCACAACCTCTCTGTGCCTGTCTACACAGCCCCTCCAAAGCTGAGCATGCACAGGAGCGTCAGTTCTACCCCAAGAAATGCCACATATGCATGCTCCCTGATACAGCATCCCTAACACAAAAACACATCCTCACACAACGTGACATTTCCACAGCAGCCCTCCCAGACACCCACACTCCCCTCCCCTCAGCACAGTTCATGCTGCTCCCCTCCCTGGCCATAAAAACAGCAGCTTCCCATCGTGCACACCCACACACAGGCTGCCTGTGGCATGTCCAGGGAAAAAACTGATGTCAAACCTGAGACAGCACAGCAGCAAAGCCTCTCTGAGCACACCAAGCAGGGAGATTGTAGGGAAGAGCAATGAAAGCTGAGCTGTTGGTTTTTAACAACTGCCTCATCCCACGTTTTTCATCAAAGGCATCTACAGTCAGCCTTTGAGTCCAGCTTCGGGATATGCAGTTGTTCTAACTCGTCCCTTTCATTTGGAAAGCTTGCAGTATCCTTTGTGCCAGCTGCTCTATTCAGTGTATCATGCTGCCCTCGTATGGCAGACCCACAAACTGGAGATCTTCAGGCCTCTCAGAACAGCTCCTGCTGTCCAGCCCATCACATTCCCCTGGAAGAGGAAGAGCCAGGGGAGAGAACTGCCTGGTTCCCAGCTCACAGCAGGCAAAATGCAGGGCTGGCCACAGCTCTGCTCAGGGTGTGGGGAGACCCAAATCCATCTCGAGCGTGGTCTGGATTTGTCTGCTAACAGACCCTCCATTCCCTGGGTGACATTATTTCACCCTCCCCTGGGAAAGGGACAGTGTGGATGGCTCGTGTGGCACCCAAGAGACACGGAGTGGGGGGTTTGTACAGCCAGGCACAGCTTGGGGCACTTTTCACGTGTCAGGTGAAGCACATTTTGATTCTGCCTGTGGATGCTGAAAGCAACAGACCACGGGGGAAGAGAAGCAAAGGCAGGATGCAGGGAGGATGAAAGCAGCAGACACAGCTCCCTGCACCCCTCCTCCCTCTGCCAGACCAGAGGGAAGCCAGCTGGGCCTCCCTGGTGGAACAGGGACAGTTCATTCCCCACCTGGGTGCTGCATGTTTGATCTGAGGAAGCAGAACCACTCACCAAGGGAAAGTGCAGCTATGAAGGCCGTGGTCACGCTGCTGGCACACAGCACAGCAGCCTGGCTCAGCTCCACAGAGCCCTTGGAGATGGCTCCCAGGATCACAGCAGCAACAGCAGCCAGGAGTCCCACCACAGTGGCCTGGACCTGGGGACCAAAGGACAGCTGGTGAGCACTCACCCACATCTGCTCCTGGCAGCCCTGGCTCCACATGACTGCAGCGCTGCCACAGCCTGGAGGGCAAAGTCTGGCACAGATGCTGATTGTTTGAGTATTTAAACAGCATCCTTGCAAGGCTCCACTAGATCAAAAAAGAAATCCTGACAAAGTTCGCAGAAAATCTCTGAGGGCCTGCAAAGGGCAGATAACACTTCAGCAAAGGACACTGAGTCCACCAGCAAAGGAATAGCCCTGGTCAAGACAAAAATGGGCTCCCCATCAGCTCTGCACTCCTGGGAGGCTTGGAGCTGCGCAGGGAGATAAGGGAAAGCACACAGACACATGCTGCCAGCCCTGAGGTCTTGCCATGTGCAAACTCTAGGCTGGCTCCTGGATTTTAACAAGCAGAAGAATTGCCTTTACAAGAGGCAATTTCTCCCATCTCTCCCCTCCTGCCCAAGGCTGATTCCCAAACAGTGCCTGTAAATGACAGGCTTTATCCGGGGGCTGCTGTGAAACAGGGATTGTGCCACAGCTCCTGCTGCAAAAGGAGTTTTATTAGTTCAGTTTGTCCACAAAGGCAGTGAATGTCTAGATGTGTTTTACAGCTAAACTACAAACTCTGGGGCCACACAGAGCTTTACTGGAGGTCAAGACCTGGCTCTGCTTGGCTGTGTTGAGGATACCTGCCCCAAATCACCAGCTGTGTATTCAGCACTGCTGCAACAGATGCTGCTGGTCTGCAACACAGCAAGAGAAAAGAGACTTTTGCATCTCCCAGCTGAAGTGACTCACCTGGATAAGGGCTAAGTTGCAGGTGGCCATTTTCCACTGCTTCTGGGCATCATCCATCTGTCCAGTGTTAGCCTAGGAGTCAAGAGAGACACTCTGAAAAGCTGCTGAAGGCAGTTTCACCTGGTCCCTGGGGGAAAAGGGGTCTCAGAGAGAGGCAAATGCAGGTCACCATCTCCCAGCCTTCCCTGCACTTCCTTCTTGACACTTTTCCACCAGCCCAGTGTCCCAGGGGCATCAGAGGCTCACACTGGAGGTGCAGAGGTGTTGCAGGGCACCCAGCTAAAAGTGAAGTGGGCATATCCACCACAGCCCTCACAGACAAAACGATGAACAAATTAAACCATTTTTTGTCATTTGTTCCCCCTAAATTGCTCTGGTAAGCTACAATTTCTCCTGAGGAATAATAAAAAAAGACCAAAGTAAAAAAACTTGCTTAGGGAGAAAGAAGAGATCAAATACAGAGCAGCAAAAGCTGCTGCAGATTCCAAGAAGCCTCAGTCTGCTCCCCCCAAGGTAGGATTGCTGGGAAGCCCTCGAGGATCAATACCCACAGAAAAGCAATCCAGCACTGAAGCTGACAGCTGTGGAGCCCTGCCTTTGTCTCCTTCATGTGTCACAGGGCCCCAAATATCAGCAAGTGGCCACCCAGGGATTAATTCACCTTCAAAGTGCAGATGGAAATTCTCTGTTCCAGTTACAAAATGAGGGCAAACACATTATTTTAATGCTCACACCCCACTAGTTTCTACTTAGCAGAAAAGGGCATCTCTCATACACTGTGTGATTATATAAATGAAGAATCTCCTGATGTCTCCTGCTAATCACCCCCCTCCCAACACTCCCCACCAGCTTGTTAACACTCACAGCAGTGGAGAGCCTGGATGCCAGTGTCATCTCCAGATTTCCCTTCAGGCCAACCAAGGCAGGAACCAGGATAAACACTTCTGTGATTGTCCGGAACACGTCCCAGTGCTGGAAGGAAACAAAGGCAGTGACCTCAGCTTGTGCTGCTGCCAGCCCAGTGCTGCTGCACCCCAGGGCAGCAGGCTCCTGTCTCAGCACCTCCAGGTGTGCTGTGCACACAGGGGCAGATGCTGCCCTGATGCATTTTATGTTTTGCATTTTGGGAGGGAAGGAAGGAATTTTCAGCTTGCAGTATTCCTCCTCATCCCATGCACAACAAAGCACTGCACTAATGGGGAAGGTTCTTTCCTTCTAGGGGCAACAGAACATTTTGGAAACCCACAAATTAAAACCTGCCTTTAGCATCAGCCAAGACCAACGTTAAAAGTAATTAAGGTTCACAAGCCAAATTAGATAAAGCATGTTCTCCATCCTTTGCACTGACACTAGAACCTCTGTGACTAGAACCTCTGTGAAATTAAGGTTCACAAGCCAAATTAGATAAAGCATGTTCTCCATCCTTTGCACTTTGAACCTCTGTGACTAGAACCTCTGTGTCTAAAACCTAGGTACCTCTACTGCTAACCAAACTCATAAAAACAAAACCAAAGATCTGGAAAATGATCTCACAACAAGAAGTTGTGTCTGTATTTTCTTACCAAACTTCTAGTCAAGCATCTAAGACTGGTGGGGGAAGGGAACGAGACTTTTGCATCTCTTCTCCACAGGCAGTTCCTAAATCTTCCTGTTACCAAGCACATTCTTGGTATAGCTGAAAAAGGTTTTGAATTAAGATATCTCATAAGCCAAACTTCTGGGCCAATAACTTGTCTGTTGTTGCTCCTCTGAAGCTGAACTGTACAAAGCTCTTGAACCAGCTGCAACACCAGAGACAATCTGAAAGCGTAAGAAACTTTGTTGACTGACAGGTCTTCTCTGATTTTTGTACCATAGAGTGCCTTGGAATAGAATTCATCCCTCCTCTTTTTATTCAAGGGTGTTGGCAAAGTCCTGCTGTAGGCAGAGAAGTTTAAATCAGGATGTAATCACAGGACGGGGCCACTCAGCATGAAGGAAAAGTAACGAGCCCAACATCTAAGAGCAGAATACAAGGAGAAAAGGGTGGCTGCAATGATCAAAGGTCCATCTAACCATCCTTGGCTCTGCCAATAATCCAATTTGGGTGTATAAAACAAGAATCTACAAAAACAGTGAATGGGATAACTCTCCTGTGTATTTTCCAGACTCTGACTATCTGCCACAGGGTACTGAGCTGGTGGGGGTTTTCTGCACACTTCCCAGTGTTGAAAGGCTTCCTCTTTCAGGTCCTCATCCAAACTCCCCCCTCCAAGCCATGTGCCATCCTGTGGCACACATTTCCATAGTTTAGCTGCACATCACATGAAGGATCAATTTGTTCATTCCTTCCAACTTGTCACTGGCTAGTACCCATGGTGGTCCTGAATTCTGGCACTAGAGGACAAAACAAACCAGCACATGCCTATCCACCCTTCTCACATCCACTGGCATTCTATAAACCTGAATACCCAGGTGGCTGGACAGACTCAACAAATGGTGAGACATTCAGCTGCCAGCCTGTTAGGAAATATATACAGGGTGGAGCAGCTCGGTGTTTTTCTCTGGCTGGGCCAAGGGAGGCTGTGGGAAGGTGGTTGTGTCTGTCTGCTGGGAAGACCTCACAGCTTCCTTCAGTCAGGATGAATGAAACTGGGCTGAGCCAGTCCTGAGCATGTGGTGCAAGGCACCTCAGAAGTGCAGATAACAGGCAAAACGTTGTTATCAATATAAAAAAGACACTTTTCCTGGCAGTGGTGGGAACAGGCACGTTTCAAAATGTGCAAGGTACGTTACTGCTGCATAAACAACCAACAACACAAAAATTATTTGACACACTACAGTTTTGTTTAAATTTGTTAACATGGAACTTAAATACCTGAGAAAAGCTAGGGGTGGACATCCCTTTTAAAGACTCATGTCCCCCTCTCTCCTCTCTCTTTAATTAAGAATAAAGACCCAAACATATCTTTGACACCTTCAAAGGAAAGAGGAGAAAACGCAGACTTCACAGTCACAATGTAAAACTCCCAACCATTTAAAGCACAGAGGCAGGCAGAAATTCATACTAAGACCTTGCATATTTTGCACATAAAAAGACATAAATAGAGAGCAACAGAAAAACTCAGCTGTTTGTATTTTCTGTGCATGCCATCTTTGGGAAATATGACTTTGGTATATCTAGGTAAGCTCCAATCCTTGTGACATAATAGATTTTGCAGGTCTCAGGCCATCAGAATAGAAGTTTCAGCATATGAGGTATGATTTTTTTGGGACTCTGCCTTACATATAATTACACCTGAAAGCTCTGAACAATTAATAATCACACAACTGTACTAATAAAAAAAAAAAAAAAAGCTGACTTAATTGCCTCTATTTGAGTCTCATTAGTGACTCACTGAGAGCCTAAGGAAAGATTCTTAATGATTTATACCACAACAGCCAGGACTTCATTGTGTTAGTGACTGCAGAAATACAGAATAAACAGATGATGCCTGTGCCATCAGCTTGCAGGACTGTCAGCTGGAGGAGTGGTTGAGTGGGGCAGTTTGGAGTCATGCAGGTAGGAAACTACCTGAATGAAGACACCTGGACAAAGCCTAGGAAATGTCTCTGTCCTTTGAGATGAAAACTGGCCCAGAAAGAGCAAAAACATTCCATGCAGCATTGCAAACCCACACAGGCAGATACAGAGCCAGAAAGAGACTCTTTTCCACTTCACATTTTCATAATGGAGTATCAGCCCTACAACTCAGCTCTGAAGAAGCTCGGTTAATAATTCCATGTTCTACCCACAGCATCTGGATCTGCTCTTGGGGTCCCTCAGAGGAAGAGAGGGGATCATGGATGCACTGAGCCAGCCCCCAGCCCCAGTGCAGCCCCCCAGGCTCAGTGCAGCCCCCCAACCTCAGTGCAGCCCCCAGCCCCAGTGCAGCCCCCCAGCTCAGAGCAGCCCCCAGCCCCAGTGCAGCCCCCAGGCTCAGTGCAGCCCCCAGCCCCAGTGCAGCCCCCCAACCCCAGTGCAGCCCTGCTGCAGCTCCTCACACTGTCCTCACAGACCCAACCTGTCCTGTTACCTCCCCATCCATCTCCCATGGCAGCAGCTCAGAAGCCTCAGAAGTTTTCCATTGCTCTGCACAAGTCAACAGAAAGATCAAAATATCCCAGAGTACAAAATGCAAGCCAATTCAAAATCCTTTTCAAAGCTAATCATCTCATGGCTTTTGTCAACACAGGACAGAGATATCTTATATCTGTGACTTTTATTTGGACTGTGTCCCACTCCAGTGGCATGGAGAGGGAAAATGAAAGGGAAGCTTTCCTCCTGAATTCTCTGGTTTGAAATCTGATCAGCCAACTTCAATATGATTCTTCACCTTACTGTCAAAAAGTGGGCCAAACACCGGCAGGGCCCTGCAAGGTCTCCAGCAATGCCAGCCAGCCCAGAATCCAGATGGACCAGCAGCCAAGGACCCCTGGAACAGAGGCAAAAATGTCCAGAAGGAAAAAAACTGTGCTATGCTATCAGCCCTGCAGAGAGACTGCATCCCCTGCACACACAGGAAGAGAAAATGGCAAACATCTTCTTCTTTGGGCATCCTTTTCCTACAGCATGGGAGACCCAGGTCTGTGCCTAAGAGTCAACTGGGCTAGATAAATCTCTTCTGTTAATCTTTCTCTTAAACAGTAAAATATGAACAGCTCTTGGTTTCATCCCAGAGCAGATCAGAAACTGCTAAAATCCTGAGAAGTTTGATGGCAAATGAGCAATTGACAAATGAGCAATTTACACTTTGCTCTCTTTACAGCCATATGAGCCCTGCAAAAGACAGCATCAGTTGGACTCACAACACAAAACCAAGTTATTTCAAGATATTTTGTATGTAATAAAAGAAGGGCAGCAGGACTAAACTCAGTATTATCTATGCTCTAGATACCATCCTTAAGCTTGCCCTTATATCTCCCTGTCCAAGGCAGACACAGAGTTTCCTAAGAATGTTTTGCAGCAACTACAAATAGGGCAAGACATTCCTTAGCCAGAAGAACCACTAGAAAATGGGCAAACCACAGAACAGACTCCTGGACTTGAAAAACCTGTAGTTTCAGTATGTGAGCCCTCATGCCTGGCAATATGAGTCTTATGGTACCTGGCCTCAAGCAAACAAACTTAGTGTCAGGTTTTAGTTGGACAGGATTGTGAGTTTCTGTCTCTCACACTTGCAGGAAGTTGAAAATAAGCAGCTCAAAGACAAAGAAGCACAGAAGAATATCCCAAACCTTTAAAGGCTAAGATCTCTGCATTTTCCCAGCTACTGGTTTTGTTTTTAGCTGTGGGACTGTGGATACCATGGCAGCTCACCTCACTGACATCTCTCCTGTGCCATTTGTGACTCTCAATGCACTGGGCTCCCTCCTCTGGGAGCTGAACCCATGGACTGACCATTTCTATTCCAACATACTTCACCAAAATATACACTTCCTGTGGTTGTGGTTTACACCTGACCCCATTTCTATGAGTCAAGTGAGCAAATACACAAACTAGATTGCCCATTGTTATTTAAAGGACAGGTGCAATGTACACACACATGGCCTGTGTTTCCCATCATTTGGATACAGTTACGTTTTTGAACACAGCTCAGTTCTTAGCAAGCGAATTGATTTCTTCTAGACAAAGACCTGTACCTCCAAGGTACAGAGTGGGTATGTGCTATGTCTTTCTCCTTCTTTGAGACAAATGCTAACTATCAACATAACATCTTGGGTAGTTTGAGAACTTCTGTAATGCTGCAAGACAGGTCTGTGCCTAAGCACAGCACAAGGTGGAGATGACAAACACAGCCCAGCAACAGCCTGTGCCACTCCAGTTAACCCTTCTTTGATATTCCTTGTGCTCCCTTGGACTTCTCTGCCTTCTTTGTTTCTTCCATTGCAAGAAAAAAACAAGCAAGGTATTGTCTTTCCAAGCATTCAAGTATCCATATTTAGCTCCTCCTGTGGTATTAATGCCAGAGAGTCCAATGTACTCCAGTGAGCTCAGAGTGTAGGATATATCCTTGAGAAACTCTGCCAGCCTTTTGATTTGTAAATCCACCAGCATTAGATGCCCAAATGAGATCAAATTTTGCATTTCTATTTGTGCCACCGGTACAAAGGAAAGAGGATGGGATAGATCCTGCTTGGGGGCACAATGGTGTAAATGCTGCAGCACTCCCTGGCAGCCAGGGGAAGTTATTCTAAATTTATACTCACCTCAGGAACTGCCCAAGAAGCACACAGTTTGTAGGCAAGGCTAATCATTTTATGGTGGCATGCCTCTCATCACGGTATCTAAATGATTTCTAGACCAAAGATTATATTAGGTTGTTTGCAAAGAACTGAAAGCATGAACTTGCCTCTAAGTAAAACAGGTAGTTAATAACAACCCTGACCCAGATCTCCTTATCAGCAATTTTTGAAGGAAAGAAATGATATCATGCAACAGGGGAATATGCTGCAGCCTGATCCAGTTGCTTCACAGGAGTCTTTACCAAAGTGTTCAGCTCCACAGAGAAAAGGGAGCACCCAGTCTAACACCCAGACAGTGCTAGGCAGCCATCTGAAAACCAGTATCCCACACCACAAGGAACCCAGCTACTGATCTAAAGGACATGGATGGTGTCCCTCCAGCACAGAAAAAGCCTACAGCCATACTGCTGACTGGCTGCTAGGACCACACTCATTAAAAACAAACAAGCTCAAATACTCAAGGTCAGAGCCTTAGCCCACCCTCTGACTACAAGTTGCCTAATCACAGGTACCTACTTGAACAACATCCATCAAGAGGCCAGCAGCTACCATTCCCAAGCCAGCCAGAAGGAATGGTACAAAAATCTGGGAGGCAATGGAGAATGAAGTCTCTGGGAGAAATCCACTGGCTGACCTGGTCAACTTGCAGGTGAAACCTCTCAGCTTCTTGCCGTGGAAGCACAGTTCCAGCTGTAACTGGGTGACCACCATGGTCACACACTGTTACCCCATGCTCAGCAGGAAAATGGAGGGAGGTCAGGACATGACACAGATCCTCTCTGTAGCTTTCTCCAAAGCCAGAAGGAATGTTTTTCCTCAAACTACAGCAACGATGCCAAATTCCTTTAGTTTCTTCTCCTCCTAGGAGCACGTCCAGATGATTGCAGCAAGGGTTTCCTCCAAAATTGGTTCAGCTGGGTTGAGCCCAGGTGGCAGCAAACTCGATGGACACAATTTCTCTGATTTATATCCAGGGGGGAATTAAAAAAGAGAAGAGAAGATTGTAGAGATGCTTGTGGACGAATAGAAACGAGCCCACACCCCATTCAGCTCCCACCACTTCAGTAAAAACCAGTAAGACCTGCTCAGGCTACAGCACTGAAAGAGTAACAAGTCATACAAGAATCCCTCAGCGTGCTCAAACACACTGGTGTCCTTTCTCCTCGGGTTACATTTCTTGTCAGAGCGCGGCGCGCGTTTGATACGATGGTTTAATGTGTGAGCCTGCTGCCAGCCAGCCCAGCTCCCTCGCTCCCACCACAAGCACTGCCGAACTTTCCTCACTGTCCCGAGACCGAGGAGGTGGGGAGTTACCAACCAGGATCCATTCTGCACTTCTCCAAGGTGAAGAAAGGTCAAGGAAAGCAGGAGCCCAGGCTTCTCTCAGCTGACGGCGTTACGCAGGTCTCGTCCCCAGGCAGGTGACACGGCTGAGCCGGCTGTGACACAAGATCTGCCCTTCTAGACCCCGGCCCCTCGTGTCCGCTCCATGGTGGGACAGAACAATCAGGCTGTGCCAGCTGTACCTCTGAATGACTGGCTCTCAGGGGGAAAAAAAGTTCAGAGAACCGGCCAATAAGCTTCAAAAGCAAGCACCCTTATCTGCTGTCATCACTTCAACTTTCTGCTAGTTTGCAAAGGCCAAGATAAGAGTCCTAGCCGAGCTCATTTAAGGTAGCTCCATAATCTCTCTGCACAGAGGGAAAGGGCACGCTGTGAGCCGGTCACTCTTCCTGTTCTAAAGTTAAACATGCTCCTCCTGCATGCTCCTGGGAAGTACTGTCTTTGAGAGGAGGGTCTCACCCCAGAGGCTTCATGGTTAAGGAGTTTACACAAGGTCAAAAATCAGAGTTGCACCGTGGCTACATACGGCAAAAAAATTTTGTATCCTGCTCTGTAAAGGCTTCAGCTCAAAGTCAGGCATGCAGGGAAAAGAGTCATGGTATTACGCCTGGGCTCTTTTCTAATAATTATTTTGGGCAAACTAATTGAATCAGAGGGTCAAACAGCTTTAAAAACCACCTTTTAGGGTGGATCAACCCCTTCCCTCACATTCCCTGCAGAGAGGAAAAGGCTAATGGCTTGTGGACTCTGTCCTTGTGACAGGGTCCCCAGCACTGTGGGGGAGTTGGAGAGAACATGGCATGCTTGCAGCTAAATTGGGAACTGAGGAAGCTCTCAGCCCTTTAGACAGTGATTCTTTGGTCTGAGTTCGCACCAACGGAGGTGACAGAGCAGATCTCCCTGGAAGCAAGGCAGAGTGGAAAACAAATGCAAGCTGCAGAGGCTGTGTCCTTCGCTGCTTTCTAGGCTGGTATTTTGGTACAGCCCCTAAAACCTTCTCCACTCCCAGCTGCCTTGGAGTGTACAGTGACTCCACCACCTAACAATGGTCCAGTTAGCTGAATGCTAACAGGGGAGCACATTTCAGCTAATCTAACTGGAAAAAAAAGCCCCACAATATCTGGAAGAGTCAGGTTAATAAAAATCCTGTAATAACCACACATGACCCAACCTCTTTATACCAGCTGGAAAAGGGAAATGACAGTATGGAGGCCCAGTTCTAGTTAGTCATTCACAGAGGCTTCAAGGAAACAAAAGACAATTTCTGGACAAAAACATAGGTTTTCCAGTTCTAATAATGTGCCTACCTAGTTGCACCTGCCACTGTATCAGCTAACCAGATTGATGACAGGCAGAAGCATTAATGTAAAGGAAATATCAATGAGACTGAATTACTCAAATGACATTAAAAAACACAGCAGCAACACATCCTGTACTAAAGCATCAGCCCGACGGGGTTTATGAGTTTACCACGCTCCATCTCTCTCCTTCTAAGCAAGCACCATAAAAAGCCCTCAACCGATAAATCAGCATGCAGGGAGGTAATTGGTGCAGGTGACCCATGTGTGTACACTGGGCCATTTTATTATGCATTTAAGGAGCCTCTGATAAAGAGCCACACTATGTTTATCAGCAGAGAGATGCATCACATTTTCCTAGCAAAGAAATAGACCTTATTTGTCCAGAAAACATATATTAGGTTTGAGAAGAAAGAAAGCATTGCTCAACAGTGGGAAAAAGACTGTAACTAGCTAGCGAAAAAACAACAAAAAAAACCCCCAACAGCTCAAGGCTGTGCCACTCAAGATGGCAAAACCTGGAGAGGTGCACTGCTGCCCTCTCTGCACACAGATACATCCTCATGTTGCCAGCTAGTCAACAAGTAGCACTGTCCTGGGGGAGTCAAAGCACAAACAGCCTCTTGGGTGAGCCCTGACCCTGGCACAGTACAAAAAACAGAACAGAAAGACAGCAAGTGTCTGAGAGCACAGTTCCATGCCTACCTTGTCATCCCTGCAAAGACACAGAAATGACAGAAGCTCTCAGAACGTGGCAGTGCTGGCAGCAGGCAGCACTACCCCAGCACCGTGGGCTCCCGGGAGAGCGATGCTTTCCAGGGACTGCTCGTCCCAGCTGCTCCAGCTCTACACTCCTGACTCTGGCAGCTCTCTCTTACACCAAGCAGGGAATTTTTGTTTCTAACCTTGCTCTTCCTTGCTCTTCTCCTCCACACTTTAAGAAAGGGCAGAGAAGAGAACTTTTGTGGAGAGATGGAAGCAGGCAGATGGAGAGTGCCTGGGGCCCAGGGACTCTCAGGGAGCCACTGCTGTCCCACAGAAACAACAGCAGCAGCCAGGCAGAGGCCAGGACTGGCTCAGGAAGGGAGGGCAGCAGCAAGTCCTTGCTGAGATGTGCTCAAGTGGTCATGCACAAACAGCCACTCAGCTCATTGCCAAAAGCCACATTTCCTATGAGATGTTGCATGGGTTGATTTCCCATACTTTGAGCACTACCATGATGGCTTTTAGTGAGCTCTGCATTTGCAAAAACAGAAGACAGACTTTTGCAGTTTCATAGGAGAATGAGGTCTGCCTCACATTCTGTTCATATTAGTGGCTGTTCCCTCTAGGAAAAAAAAAAAAAAAACTCCCAGGGAAGAAACATTGAAGGAAAAGTCCTCCTCCAACATCATAAAACCATCTGCAATCCATTTCACACTTTAATAACCCACAGTAGGAAGAAACATACATTTAATGTCAGAGATCCATAGGAACAGTCAGCTCTAGAAAGTTTAAAAAATAAAAATGGAAGTGGCTGCTCAGTGTTCAAGGCTCTTGGGAATAATGTCTAAGGAGACAAAAAGTAGTTTGACACTGGGTTTTGCATTTGCCTGGTGTTCTGTGATCTGACTAGGCATTCTGCTGGTTATCAAGTACATGCTAAGGTCAGTTAAGGATACTGTGTCACTCCTAAGCCTCTATAGCTCTTCTAGCTCAGGGAGATCAGCCCTGGGTTAATGACAAAGGAACACAGCTCCACATTTGTGAAAGTTGTCAATGTATGCACTGCAGATTCCCTGTCCCTGTATCAGATAGGTCAGGGTAGCTTGACCTCACAGCTAGTTAGTCAAATAAAAAGGTTAACAAAAAGGCATGCTGTGAAAGGAGCCCAGAGTGCAAAGGCATGGTAATTTATAATCAGCTTTAAAATGTCTAAAATTAGGTGCTGATCATTGCCTTAAAGGTCTGTATTTCATAGGAGGAAAGGTCTTATCCTGATTCCCACAGAGTCAGAAATGGGACTTAAGGAATTCAAGTCCTCTGTTGTGAGGCCTTAGGAAAGGACAAGGTGCACAGGCAGGGCTGAGCTGTTGTATGAAATGTTAACAGTGCTGGGCTGGCTGATGCCTTGTGCAAGGAAGGAGAGGGTGCAGGACTGCCCAGAGCTACATCCATGAGCAACGTCACCCCTCTGTCTGCTGCAGGAAACACCGTGCCACCCCAGGCTGCACTCACCCACCCTCTTCCCAGGACCAAGGAGAGATCTCTGTATATTCCCAATCACTAATCAATTAGGACTCCACATTCCCAGTCAGCCTTCATGTACTCTTTAGTACCGTGTTCTCTTTTTAATCCAGAGAAAAGGCACCAGAAAAGCACCACGTGTCTCTTGAGAGCTGTACAGTACATAATAGCTGACTTTGAGGGACATGCTGGCATAGGAAACTGCTGCAAATCCTCCCTTACTGTGTCATTCCCAGAGCAAATCCCCTGCCTGTGAAGAAAAGTCCCCCACTTATCCCACAGCAGGTATTGTCAGATGAGTTTCTTCCCCTTACCTGAACATAATCCAAAACCATGCCTGCCAAGACCATGCCAAGCCCAGCTAGGAGGTATGGCAGGAGCACTTGCAGGCAAATTGAGATTGCTGACTCTTCCTGTGACTTTGCCATGGCTGCTTTCTCCTCAGCCAGCAGCTTCTGCTGTGCATGCAGAGAGACATCCTCTGCCTCCTGGCTGCCAAGTCGGCTCTCTCTGTGTTTACCCTTGCTCCTTCCTTTGTGCCGGGCTCGCTCTCCATTCCTAGACCTGCCCTCTTTTCTCCTCTGCCGAACTTCCTCACCTTTCATGGTGGCTTTCTTGAATCACAGTTTTTCTGAAAAACAAAGTCAGAAACAATGAGATAACAAAAAGAAGTATCAGGTAGGTGAGAGACAGGAAATTTGGTGCTGTGTGCACTCCATTAACCTGAAGGCAAACTACCACTTACTCCCCAAACCCAAGATACTCCGCTGGCCCCAATACTAGTACTTAGTTTACCTTCAACTTTGTATAGCGTGGAACCAATCTCCCTTTCTGTAGTTGCATCTCTTCCTAGACCAGTGCTCACGCTGCAGCGCTTGCTGTGCATCCTGGCTGTTCCCCTGAGAACACCCAGAAGTATAGTGCTGCACATGGCCTGAACTTTTGACCCACCAGCTCTTACACTGGGAGTCACAAAGAACTTATGAGCCCAGCAGAATCCAACCCTTTTCAGGACCTGACCCCTAGCCAAGAAATGGGAGCAGCTGACTTCCTTATATCCTGGCATCCCACAGTTCAGCAATGGACTAGCATCCAGGTGTGTACTGTGCTTACTACCTAGCATAGCTGTCCACCACTCCTCTATAACAAGACATTACTTTGATCTTTGTGCTAATCTGGATACTTTTCCTTCCTTTTGTGCCTTAGTTGACACACATGCACTACATGACTCATCTATCTACAGAGAAGTTGCCACGACCTCACAACATCTTACAAGAAAAAATAAACATGCAAAATTGTAACCAGTAGCCCTTTTGCTGCCATCAAATCTCATTTCTTGATGGAATTGTCACTCATGCTGCTGGCCCAGGCAGTGCCCCAAGTCTTTCACCCATCACCTCCTGCCAGCCCTCATCGGGATTAACCTTTGCCAGATGTTCCCTGATGCTCTCATTTCCAGGACGGAACACCCCGAGGCCCTGCGCTACCCCAGGCAGGACCAGCCCTCGTCTTCCCCCAACATCTGGAGAGCGGAGGAAACAGCTGGGAGGCCCCAATGACGGCTGGTGGGGGAGTGGGGGGAGGGAGGAAAGACGGGCGGAGAGATGGGGAGGAAACTCCCGCTCTGCGGGCGGAGGACCCGCGGCCCCGTCCGTGCGCGGCGCTTACCGGCTCCGTGCGCTGCCCGAGCCGGGGCTGTCCCCGCGGGGCCGGGGCGATGCGAGCGCGGGCGGCTCCC